CAGTAGCAGTAGCAGTAGCTGTAGTAGCAGCAGGAGTAGTAGCAGTAGTAGTAGTAGTTGTTGTTGTTGTTGTAGTACTAGTAGTAGTAGTAGTAGTAGTAGTACTACTACTACTACTACTACTACTACTACTACTACTACTATTACTACTACTAAACGAGCATGCGCGGTCAGTCGTGCATTGCAATTAGTGATACGTGATAAATGGGAATTGACTAATGAGCAGCGCCTGGGGCCCAGTGCTTAGCGGTTTATGGTTTGTTCCGAGTGATTAGTGAGAGCGATGGCGATTTTGTCAGTGGCACTGGAAGTGGTAATGGTAGTGGGGCATGGCCTAGTTGCACGGATTGTGTTGGTGATTTGCGGCAGGCTGTTGGCAAAGAATCCTAAGAGCTCTGAAGTTTCGGCCTCGCGACGCCGGGTCCACGGGCAAATACCGGCCTCGGCTTGCAATGGCCGAGATCGAAAGCACTGACCGTAGAGAGGTAAGTAGGTTGACAAATTCACCAGATGGTGACCTGCGTGTAGAAGCACCTTGCTGCCCTGCTGCCTTCCTGTTTCCAGGCATGCCGCCAGCCGCCGTCACCAGCGGCCAGTCCAAATATCCAAAGGAGGCGCCAGCCACGCCATGGGGGCCACATTGGGCGGGATCACACTCTGATTGGTCAGGTACTTGGAGATTTTTGCCTCCCAACTAGCTAGGACGAGCCCATATCTGGAGATGCTTGGGAAGATTTGCTTTGCAACTGAAGGCCGCTGCCTTGACTTTTGCACGTTTTGATTCCATCAAGTCGATCTTGCCTTGCTTTGGCCGTCTTTCGACATGAGGTGCTACTGCAACAAGTGCTGCTTCACGGCTGCCAGCATCGCATATTTCACAGCTCCGATCGCAGGCGTTCAAAAGCAAAGCGATCCTGGAGAGGCTGCGTCATCGAAACCCGGCCCACGACTCCACAAGAGGATGCACAACAACGGTCTCCTGGAGACTTAATGTAGCCAGACTTTTGCCTCTTTCGGCGCAGCGCTACTGTCACGCATGGAACCATTCCGAGCAGAGGGCAGGAGCTTCTTCGATGCACGGATGTCGTCACCTTGACGAACTCCAGACAAGCAACGCAGGCAACTCACTATGTCATGTCAGTGAGCGGAGTGTATAGCGCGGCAGGAGAACCCGCTGAGACGCAGGCTGCCCTCGGATTCTGCGATTTGACGCTGGAGTTCTTCCAGCCCCACCTCATAAAGCGGTTACGCTTTCGAGCCAATGACGTCGCACGGATACTGAGCCTGCGTCAGTGATTCGCTGCGAAATGCCAAACAACATTGAGGACTACAGTATGAGTTCAAGCCTACTTCGGCCGTTTTCGGTGATTCTGACCCCAACTCTTCCGAGGCACGGTGTCATCGCGGGCGACTTGGTACACGAAGAAGCCTGCCGACTGGTTGCACATCACTGGCACGGCCGTGACATTCTTTACATCTCTGAATCTCTGCTGTCTTTCCAGGGCCCATCTGGTCTCTGCCTCAGGACCAAAGATTCCCTGCGTCAATACATCGTTGCATTACAAGACATGTCGCATGTGACGGAATGCACTGTATTCAACCTGTTCTTTCCCCATCTCCGCACCATGGGACCAGCAGCCAGCTTTCGGATGCGACTCGACACAGCGCTGACCTGCGAACTCCTCTGCAAGCACATCGCCATACCTCGAGGGCCACTCGGGGAATACCGCGAGGATACTTCAACCTTTCCTGTGCTGTGAATAACCCCAGGCAAAATTTATCTTCAGGACTTGCTGCTGCTGCTGCTGCTGCTGCTGCTCCTTGAAGGTCCAAAGAACGTGACCGCTCGTGTCTAAAGCCCCCACCATTTCTCTGAAGCCTCGCCTCCCCTGCACAGTCCCTCTGTGATGAATTTCGTTGCTACGCGAGCCGCTGTACCCGGTACACCATGTGTTGCAACATTCGGTGCTCTCTGCTATCCAACAAACCCCCAAGTCTCTCTTAAAGCCTCTCAGCTACGAGAGCTTCGAGAGCAGTGCCCACGGCTGCCAGAACCCGGTACCCAGAGAACCCAATACCCTTAATTAAGGAATATACCTTAAATCATAATATTCGGGCCCCTACAATTTAAGGTATATTCCTTAAGTAAGGAATATACCTTAAATCATAATATTAGGGCCCCCATAATTAGAGGTATGTTCCTTAATTAAGGGGTATTGGGTTCTCTGGGTCATGCGGCACAGGCACTTCACAGCAAGGCCTGCTGCGCGCCCGGAGGCCCGGTAGGCCTCCTGCACAAAGAGGTTTTTTTTTAAAGCGGGTTTAGGGTTCGCCATGATCATCTCGATTGTGGCAATGCTTCGAAGTAGGTACGACTTACGTAATACGAAGAGCAACTCTTGGGCAGAGACCTGCTGTCGTTTCATCGTGATGGCAACTCTGCACAAAACAACATAGAAAGGTGCGCGGTTTGGGAGAAACGTAGACATGGGAGTCTTCACACGGGAGTCTTCTTTATTCTTCGAATGTGGACGCGTTCCAGTGTGTGCCCTTCCACTACTTAATTTTCTTCCGATACGCGACTACCGGATCTAAAACATGACATCCCGGAAACGGCGACGGCTTGCAGTCGGATTTGCAACTAACAGCCGCTGACGGCTAATGTTTCTCGAGATGTTGGGGCCAATCGAGACTTGGAAGGCTTTGGCCTCGAGTTGATAAGCACGAGCGGACTCTACGTGGTGCTGTTGTGGCCCCTGGCAAGAACTTGTTTCGCAGTGCGTCAACAAGCAATCTCGGACGACCTACAAGACTGGAAGGTAATCGTGTTTCACCCGTTTGTGCTGCATACAAAAACTGACGCGAGGCGATGTGAAGCCGTTGTCGGGATCGGGTGGGAGTGCATGGGGCAGTGCAGTGCGTCAACCTAAACCCAACTCCACACATGAAAGGAAGCCGCCTCGACTTCATCCAATCCGGCCTGAAGCCCCCACCAACAGCTAGAGTAACAGCTGTGGCTCACCGGAATAGTGCTGACTCTTGGCTACGTCCAGCTCAGGCTTCTATGATTTGCTCCACACACAGACACACACACACACACACACACACACACCAATCTCAAGGCCATCGAGTTCGCCACCCGATGGTCTTTCGGAGAGACTTCGGAGACTGCATCTGGAACGGGCGCCTCGGGTGGTGCCCCCCGGTACTGCTCCCTTACTGATTGCTGAATACTACCACCTGGTGCGGCTGCTACTTCTCTGCTGTGCATTCGCCTTCCCCGATTCCTTCTTCCTCCAGCTGCTGCCACCACTACCAGTGCGACCACCGACTAGCAGTACAAGTCACTGCCACTGTCACGGCCATGGCCACGACGACGACGACGATGACTACCGCGAGTGCTATCACCGCCACAGCTTCTGCAAAGGCTGCTGTCGTCGCAATTGCTACTGGTATTACTCTGGCTGCAATGCAAGAATTCTCACATGTAAGTCTCTGGCCAAAGCTCCGGTAGGCAAACGTCGCCATAGGGCTTGCCTTGCGTGCAGCTGCACCGCAGCATGGAGCGTCTTTCGGAGCCAAGTCACACAGGCGGTCATCGCACAGCAGTGGGCAAAAACGTACGCAGAATACAGAATGGGGAACAGGACGTTCGCGAGCTGTTCGGGTGTTCACCAGGACCAGAACGACATGCCTTTTGAAACTTTACACTCTCACAACTCGGACAAGCCAGGCGAGGATCCATGTGCGACAGTCGGCGTGAAAACATTGAAAGCGAGTATGCCTGCAACTACTCCACACAACTTAAACAAGTACAAATTTAACTAGTTTTTTTCCACCGTCTGTAGAGACGACTGCGATTCGGCATTGCGACAGTTCTGCAAAAGCAAGCACGCCATTACCGTACTGGCGTGGAGTTCAGACCAGCGCACAGGGGGCTGAAGCATCCCGCCAGTGAAGGCTTCCAGGCTCTGAAGAAAATTGAAAGACTCTGAGACGTAAACAAATGACCTTGAAATCCGAGCTCGGCCAGACAGCCACACAGGAGAACATCGGGGCCGCAACAACATCGAACCCACACGGACAGGGAAAGAAAGGACAAGCATAGAACAGGATCGTCAGTCGGGGATGTGTACACTCTTCTGCGTGTTCCCGTAGTCGTGGCTTCTGCCATTCGGATCTCGAAGTCACTTCGATAAAATGGCTGATGCCAGAAATCGAGACCTAATTAAACTTACTAAATACGGCGGGCATTCCCTGCCTTCTTATGACAAGCTGCCTACTCTTCGAGTGGCTCAGCGCCTCCTGCCCCTCTGCAACCACTTCAACGCCCCCCTGTTTCTTGGCCGACGTGGTGGTCCCAGCTCTTGTCCGGTATTGTGGACTGGCTTACCGTTTGCCCACATGTTGGCCCTCACGATGCCTCCACCGCTCGTGGCAAACCGGCCATTGTTGAAGGACCACGTCATGCCCGCTCTCGCAGGGTTTCCGGCCTTCCCCCTCTGGGGACGGCCGCCGCGGGACAGCATCCTTCCTCCAAGCGGCCCCTTGCGTCTTCCACGGAGAGTGCACGAAGTTCTGCCTTTCCGTTCCTTGCATCTCAGCTGAAATCGCAGAGGCTTCCTTTTGCGCTTGAAGAAACCGTTGATTCTTGCCATCGTCTCGTTTTCGCTGTCCTCACTGACACTGAGCAGTCTGCCGCTCTCCATTCTTGCACGGTGGCGCCCCATCTTCTCAAGGCACATCGCGCGGCTGCGCTGGCACATTTCGCCTGCTGGCTCCACTTCCACCGACCGAAGACTTGACCTCTGTGTCATGACTGCCTCACAGGATCCGTCAAACTCCGCCGTCATCTTCATGACGAATGGTCTCCTCCCCCGGCCGGTCCGACGTTTCCGACGCGCGTCCATATCCGCCTCCATGTCAATAGCGCATCTGCCGTCGCGGTCTCGAGCTGACCACTTGAAGTCCCCCTCCTCCGTCTCACTCAAGCGGCGTGCGTCGCTGGCATTGGGGAGGAAAGCATCCAAGACGTCCTCATTATCCGCCATCGTGAAGAGAGATGTCCAATACAGCGAGCCGGTGGCGATCTCAAGGAACGGACTGCCCGTGTCCTCCTCGACAAGCCCTTGCAACATCTCGTAGTTGAAGAGCAGCGCGCTTGGCATCTCCACCCATGGGTCAATCTCGGGCGGCTCATCGATGTCGTCATCGTCGTCGGCTTGCGAGAGATAGCCTTGGATCTCGGCTGCAAGCGCATGGCTGTCGGCGGTGGCATCGGCATCCTCCTCGTCCTCGTCCACATCACAGTCGCCATCCAAACTTGAGACGCCGAGCTCCTCCAACACCTGAGCCAGGCCCTTCGAGGCATCCACTGCCTCCATAGAAAGGTACTCCGTCATTCGATCCACGGTCGAGCCGGGCACCGTGGAAAATGCATGAATCCGGTAAGGCTGTCCCGACTGGAAGACCTGACTGGGATCCGTGTCGACATCGTAGCAGTCGATAATGTTCGGAGACAGGCCGGCCTCCAAGACAGCCACGCTGAAATTCTCGTCCTCGGTCAGCGTCGAGAGGTCCAGACCCTTCAGGACGTCGGTCCTCCAGTGGCGCAGAATGCGGCCGTCCGGCTCTGCGACGGTGGTCGCCCTCGCCAATCTGGCAGCGGAAGCCTCGGGATCCAAGAAGATCCATTTGCGCCAGGACGCCAGCCTTCATCAAGTGCAGCTCGGCTTGCAGAGGATGCATGGCATAGCGCTTCAGATGGACTTCGGAGTCCGCGGCCCTCACAACCTCCTCGGTCCAGGTCTTCTAGACCTTTCCGTCGTAGGAAAGAATGCCCGGGAGGGTCAGAGCGGAGCCGTTGGCGCTGAAGTACTGGGAGAAGGCCTCGTCCTGCGGGTCCGGGTGCAGCTCAGTGATGCGAACCTCCGCGCGATAATACTGTGGGATGCTCTGCGGATCGGGGAGAGGGTTGCTCTCGCAGGGCTCCTCGCCTTCCTCGAACCACTCAAAGGTGCCATCCAGGATGTCTGCTCCGAGCAGCTGCCGGCCCTGGCGGCCGCCCCGGCCCTGGCGACCCCTTCTCACGTTCCTCGTCAGTGCCGCACACTGAGCCTGCTCCAAGAATTCGAACATCGGGTCATCCACGTACACGTCGCATCCGTCGAGGGTCACGATGCCCTCCTCCGTGTGGATGTTCATGACAAGTCCGCAATTGCACTCCCGCATCTCTGCAGACATGACCTTGTCGACCGGCAGATGCAGAGGCTGCGCGCAGCGGAAGTCCAAAGCCTTGAGCCTGTCGAAGTTCGACCTTTTCGACTGGGAGCAGATTCCTTCCACCCTTCTTGTCGCCGGAGCCGTTTGCAGTGGTTTCTGAAAACCTCGGCCTCCGCGGCGTTGCAGACGACGGCAGGTGGTATTGGTACCGCACTCGGCCGCAGTGGGTTCCTCACGAGCCACAAGCTGGCCATCCACCAAAGTGAAGTCGGAGCTCGCAACCTTCACCACCTCGCCCTGTGCGCGCATCACACCGTCGCCACTGCTGCGCATCTCCTTCGCCATGTCTGCCGCCACATAGGAGAGCACGAACATCCCCGCCAGCAGCACACCGATGACGCAGCAAAGGCCGATGATCATCTTCCTCATGCGACGGCCTTCCTTCTTGACCTTCTTGTAGGCGTGGGCGGCCTCTGTGAGCTCATGAAGAGCCACCGTGCCGTCACCGTCCATATCCCACTCCTTCATCACGTCCTGAATGCAGGGGCTCAGATGGCGATAGCTCATATCTGCCGAGTTCTCGCGCTTCTGGCGCAAGAGATTCGACATCAGTATCAGCGCTTTGTCCATCTCTGCTTGTGCCACGTGGCCCTTCTCACAGCCGAATTCCTCGCGCATCATCTCCAGCATCTTAACCACGTGATCCACATTCGGGTCATCCACCACTCCGTTTCGGTCCATGTCGATGTCGCTGAGCAGCCTTTTGACATTGCTCGGAAGGTTCATCGTCTGTATGTCTGCCATGGTGCCATCAGGCAGTTTCAGCATGACAACCGGGCGCTCTCCCTCCGGAATGTGGGACATTTCGGGCATCTTCAACATCACGATGTTGGGATTGTCGCAGGTCCACGTGTCCTCATCGTTGGCTGTCGCGGCTTCGACATGTCGAGCGCAAGCAGCCTGCCACAGCTGAAAAAAGGACCAGTGAACCCCAACAGGTTGAGCTGATCAAAATCTTGAGCAAAAAGGGCCGTACCTTTTGAAACTTTAAGGCCTAGCGATGCCTAGGGTTACTCGTTCTTTCGTCTCGATGCTACTCGCGATGGAGCGCTGGGGACCTGGCAAATCACTGCACAAGCGGGTCCCAATCATGCAGAAGAAGTCTCTACCTCGGCATCCACCGCACACGCCCAGGGTAGGCATACACCGTAGCCTGAAAAGAGTCCTGGTGCCAGGAGCGTAAACTTTGGATTTAGGAAGGCTGGGTGGCCGACGAGGGCCGCCATAGTCTTCAGCAACCTCTTATCGACTTGGGTGACATCGGGCTGTGGTGACTTTGATGCGACGATGACCTTGAGGTCCGAAACGCACAAGTAAACCCAGATGAGCAAGCACGGGCCATTTTCGTCCGACACCCTCACTCCAGCGCCAGGTTTCTGCCTGCAGATGCTGCCTGCGAATGCTCTCGCAGGAGAGGGAGCAGCAGGTATGCTGAGAATGTCGATCCTGAACTTGGCAGCGACACGAACCTCTCTCCCTGTTACAGTCTGTACGGGCCTGCTCTGGGGCGTGCTTCTATACATACGTACCTACCTACCCACCTACCTACCCACCTACCTACCTAGCTACCTACCTGCGTATACGCATGTATGTACGTCCGCAGGTCCCTTTCGTGCTCCTGCGAGACATCGTTCTTGCAGCAGCTACGGGGCGCAGCGACATGGTCGGTGACCTCAGCCCTCACAGAGTGTATGATTACAGCTTAAAGTTTAAAGCGGCTAGGGGTTTAGTGTTTGTCAGGTATTTTTGTAGCTGACAGCCGTGGTTGTTGTACAGCTGTACATACTCTTGGGGTTCATGCGGTCCGACTGATCGCATACGAGTTCAAAGTTCTGTCGAGCCCTCGACCCTGCAAAACGAAACTGCGCCGAACTAAGCCTACAATAACCATTCGAAGAAGATCTTTGACGCCACATCAGAGCCTCTTTCAGTGAAAAGTGAAACAACCCCAAAAATACACAATTGACGAAGCCCCAGTTGGGTTCGGATTGATCTTATTCCCGGCAGCTTTCGCTGCCAGTCAGTAAACGTGCCGGAAACCGTGAACCCTTGTTCCCAAAACCCAAAGCCTCTTTTCCAACAGGTATCAACCAAAACATTCCTCCAAAAAGCCGCTCTGATAACAATCCGTCGAAGCGGCCAAGACGCTCGCCGCCACCCTGGCGCCCACTCTGGAAAGCGGCCTGGCTCGCGATGGAAGACGCTCTCAGTTTTTATTTGTGCGTCTTCGCAGGGGCTGCCTCAAAACATCAAGCTAAACCCTAAATCCTAAACCCTGGCTCAGTGTTTCTATGATTTCAAATTTCAGTGTGATTCTCACGGGCCCTGCAGCGAATCAAACGGCCAAACACAACACGCTTATCTAGATTGTCGGGAGAATGGGACACTTTTCTCTACCTGTATATAGCACTGTTTGAGCAGGTTCCAGGGTTCGGGTTTTTGGGTTAGGCGCGTCAAAGGAGTTTACAGTTCGCGGTCCAGGTTGTCGGGTCTTTGTTGCAGGTTGTCTTGGCTTTAGAGATCAGTGTGCAGACATATATGTGCCGTAGCAGGCTATGTATTCAGACATCCTGCTGTCCTTGAAGCAGCCTATGCTAAGTTTCACCACGCAATCCGCAACTCCAAAAGGCCCAGGCCTGTTTCCGAAACCCTATACAACCCTTACACCACTGCAAGACGATGCCCAAGAAAGCCCAATGCCCCTCTCTTCCTAGTTTGTAGTTCATTCGGGCAATGCTCCCCACGAAGATGCCCCTTGACTGAGCCATAAGCCAGATACTTTAAAGCAGATTAAGAATCCATCTGTGACCTCATGACCCTTCCTAGGGATGTGTGTGTATATATATATATATGCATAGCGACCCCAGCCTACTACCAACCCCGACTTAGCCGACCCTGGTTCTTGCAAACACCAAACGAAACCTTAAAACCCGACCTGTAAGACCCTTATACAGTTATCATGCAAACCCTCAAAAAGCAATCCCCCTTCGAGGCCTGCTGGCAAGCTTGGTGGCACCTGGGAGTGTGCTCGGAAGGCTGATGTCCTCCCCGCAACGTGCAAGCTTCTTGGCCTTTTTTCGGGATGTCCATACGATTTGGGAAATAACACGGCTCTCCAAATATTATGTTTCGAAATGTACCACGTATTCCAGGGTTTGAGTTAAAAGTTTACCACCCCAGGACCACCCGGCTAGCACCATTGACCGGGCGCCTTGAACAGGACCCGGGCAGGACGAATGCGGTAGCAGTATCCGGGTTGAGGGTTTAGGGGCCCGTGCTCAAAAAGGGTTTAGGGTTTAGGGTTTTGTGAGGCTGCCTCACAGCACAGGAACGGCAAGATCCTGTGTCAGAGCTTCGTCCTATGTCTTGACATCTCCCTGGCTTCACCCCAAACCTGTGCCCCGAGCCCTCGGCCGCCCAGTTGTGAACCCTAAATCCTTCTAGCTCTTAACCTTCGTGCCCATATCCAAAAGCTACCGCCTCAAGCCTCTCGTCTCAAAAACACATTGCGAGATCTTACATGATTAGGGTTTAGGGTTTAGGGTTTAAGACTTCTTGGGTTCCTAAGCCCTAAAACCCCGAGCCCGTCTTGACACCGTGGATGGATAGGTCAACGCGCTGTCTGTCTGAGTCCTCAATTGTCTGCAGACCTCGCCTGGTATTGCCGCGTGTGAGCGTCAGAAAAAGCCCCAAACCCCAACTATCTTAGTTCTGGGCTCAGAGACTTTTCCCTAAACCCTAAACCCGGACAGAGCGCCTGGCAGAGTCCGAGTTGTGAGAGCGTAAACCCGGACAGACCTACAAACTACCCATCTCCCGAGGTATCGACATCGTGGAGGCCTACAAGCTCGACACACTGGGGACCCTTTGGTTTACAGCTTGGGGTTTAGGGTTTAAGGTATCCTTTGGGAGTTGAGGGTTTAGGAGTTCAGGGTTTAGGATACGCTTTAGGCGGTTCGGGCCGTTTAGGGTTTGCTCTGGGACTTTAGGGTTTATGTCTTTCGTGGCAAGTGTCTCCTTAAGATGTGACTTTGTCTTATCTTATACGAGGGCAGATGGCTGTCCGGCCCAGGGATCTTCTGAGTCGGGGATCTCTTGCGACTGTCATGACTGTTGATGCCACGCTGTCTTAATTTCGGGGATGCCTTCTTTGGAGCGCATATGTTGAGATCCCACTGCTTTGGGCTTGTGGTTATGTCCTATGTTCTTATACCTCTCTCTCGACCTTAGAGAAACTCAAGCATGACTGTCGCCGTCGCCTGCGTTACCTCAAGGGGCTGACATCTTTATTGCACTTCTTGTGAACGCAAAACCCTAAATCCCGTGCGAGAGTGTGTGTGTGTGTGTCGAAATCCCGAGAGGCCTAAACCTTAAACCCTACAAAAAGTAACCTACAAAACCCTACATCCCGAAAGCTCTAAACCCCCTGAGCTCTAAAGTTTCCAACCATCAATCCCGAAAGCCCTAAGCCCCCAGAACGTTCCGCCAGTCATCATCCCAAACCCAAGATTGGAAGACACGGCCTCTGCACATTCCCCCACAAAAACCTCAAAAGCTGGCTGTTTTCCGGATGAAGGCCCGGAGACAAGAACCGGACTTCGTCGCTTCCTTTGGGGCTCGGGCTTGGGTTCTCTGTTGAACGATCATGCGCCAGCAATTTCCGACGATGGGCTTACGGTTCAGGCTGTATTGGGGCCTATAAGCCCTAAACCCTAAACCTTAAAACCCTAAACCCTAAACCCTGCCCGACTGAAAGGGTGTAGGCTTCGTAAAGGAGAACTGAAGACTTCTGCAAAGTCTGGACCGTTCAGCCCCCAGAAAACCCTAAGCCTTTAAAACCTGGGCCTCTAAAACCTTAACCCCTTATACCCTAAACGCCTACGCCCTAAGCCTTCATGCTTGGGGGCCCTGGTCTGCTTGTTTAAAGCTGCTTGCAACTCAGCAGATTTTGGGTGGTTTTCTTGGGGTTGTCATTATAGGATCTGAGCAGTTAGCTGTTAGGAAGGGGCTCTGACTGGCGATGATGTAAGGAGCATCATGGAGTCGACCGATCCACGCTTCACCAAGTACAGCATCTTCCACAAAGGCCCGCCGGCTTAGGGCTTTCAGGTCTTAGCGCCTCTAGTTTTTAGGTTTTGGGTTATATTGGGCGAGTAGGGTATCAGGTTTTGAGATGAATTGGGGCTTCGGATCTGCCAGGTTTAGCATGTTCGAGCGTTGGGTTTTCGAGAGTTGAGCTGACGGCGTACTTTGGAGCTGTATAGTTTCAGTCTTTTGCTGTGCGTTTTGGAGTCGCCTTGGTTCCTGCATTCCGGGCATGTGTTCAAGGTAAAAGCCTGGGTTTAGGCTTCCAGCTTGTTTGTTTCTTACACTGTTTTGGACTGCGTTGTTTGCTTATCCCTGATTATCCTGATTATTTCGGAAAGTTTACGTTCACTGTCCTTAAAATTGGTCGTGAAATAAGCCCGAGTGCAGTGCAGCTCCTTTCCCTCAACGGATCCCAAGTACCTGTATGGGTCGGGACGGAGGGGCTTCTGGGAGATGTGGGCGATACACGAAGATAGCTCACCTTGCACGTCGGGTAGGATTCCCGGGGATGCATATAGAAGCCTAAATAATCATTACCCATAGTATCCCTTGGGTTCTTTATCTATTTATACCGTGAGGGAGCCCCAAACCCTATTCTAACCATTAAGGCCCCTACATTAGAAGCTTTGACACCTCAAGCAGTGTGATGAGCGGGGCATTTTGATTTAGGCGCTTCGGCTGGAGAGGTTTAGGATTAAGGTGTAGCCCCAAACCCTAATTGGGGTGTAGGGCTGTGAGGGTATGTCCAGGCCTGTAGATCCTCCAAGCCTCAAGGACGGCAATTGAACTACAACACTTCCGATTTCCCTTTTCAATGGCTGGCTGTAGAGAATCCAACAGCCTCACATGTCCCTGCAGCCACCGGCACTGTGATTGCGGAGTTGTGCAAGACCGTCGGAATCGAGGACCCGAGTTGGGGTGATTCTAAACCCCAAACCCCAAACCCTAAACCCTAAACCCCAAACCCTAAACTCCTAAACCCCTAAACCCTAAACCCGAGTCCTTCCAGCTCAGTAGGGTTTAGGGTTCAGGGCGGCAAGATGATCTGCTAAGCTTTGCCACAGATGATCTCCTAAGCTTTGCCACTATGTGCAAGTATCCAACTAGTGGAGTGTCAGGCGCTTAAAAACACAGAGAATCCAGTGTTTGGGCCTTAAGACCTGACTATTTGGGAGTATTGGACGCTCTAAAGCTTGCGTTTTTGAGTTTTAGACGTCCGCTTTGCGTTACCAAGGTAGCTGTCCCAACTGTAAGCGTGCCCCTTTCGGTCAGTTGAAGTCGAGGTGTACATTGGTTGCTCTAGGCAGTGTTGAGGGTTCTTGTATTCGCATCGTTCGTGGAGAGGTATAGATATGGTTGACATCACAGTAGGTTTGTGCTGCGCAAAAAATGTTTCCGAGTTAAAGCGGCGCCTAATTTTGGGATAACTTCGTTAACCTCAAGGATACGTAATCTTAGACGTTTTAAGAATTTCCTTTTCTGGAGGCTGATTACAGTGGGGTGTGGGAAAATCTTGTTATCACGGGATACTGCCTCGTCTTCTTCTGTTCAGCCAAGTACGCCGAGGAAGCCGACTGCCCTTCCGTGGTAAGAGACCGTACACCCTGAACCCAGAGGACGACTTCCGGAACCTGTTGAGCGAGAAGCTGCATGCCATCAAAGCCCTCTGCAACCGATTGGATGCTGGGATTTGTTGATTCGGGCTTACCTAGGCCACCACAACTACTCTCCCAAGGGCCTTTCCATGAGGGAAGACACATGATTCGGAGCAGGGTGTTCAGGGACCAGGTAGAGCATACTTAGGCTTTAGGATTCTGGCTTTTAAATTTCAGAGTTGAGTCTTTGGGAGTTGAGGCTGTAGGCTGTAGACTTAGAGGGTTTAGGGGTTCGGGCCCCCTACATTGGGCCCTGTTGGATTCATTTCGGTCGCAAGAAGTCGTAAACCCTTGTTGGTCTAGGGCTTAAGTTCAATGCAAAGCCTTTCGGGTATTAGATAGGGCTTGAACCTCTCAGGAAACTTCAACTCCCGGATTTGAGATCTGTGCTCAGAAGTTAGATTTTCAATGTGCTCAGAATTTTGTCGTTAGGTCCTTGCAGGTTGCCTCTGAGACCTTGGATACTGTACTTGGATAGTATAGGGGCGTTAATAATTACCTATATTATTTTGGGGGGCTCCTTAGCTTAGTATAATTATAGTATAATGGGAACCAAAACCCTATTCTGATTATTGAGGCCCCTACATTAACCACATCCTTTCTTTCCCCAGCCACTAGTCTTGTCCCGCGGGCTTTGAGCGGGTCGAAACGGACACTTGCGCAGTGACCGACAGGAGGTAGATGTATCTTTTTCACTTTGCCGGTGATGTGCCTGCTTCATGGATTCCAGGGTTAACTATGTATCAACTTGGAATAATCCTTGAATTTCCCTTAATGTTTAAGTTTCATATACGGCCCGAATTGTAAGTACTTTTGGGGACTGTTGAAATGGACACCTAGTTTAGGTCTATGCTGGGGAGTGCGAGTTGCGAGAGTCCAAACACAGCGCACTCTGTGAACCCACGCAAAACAGGAAGCCTAAAGCAGTAAAAACCGTGAACGCCAAACCGCACGACCCTAAAAAACTCCCAAAACCCCCAAAAGCATCCTGAACCCTAAACCGAAGCACCCCCTCCGAAGAAAAGCAACCAAACCCCAACCCAGGAGGACTTCTCCCTGCCCTTCAGGGTCCAGGCAAACCCAAAACCCCTTATGTAAGGGCGTTATGTTTTACCTATACTGGGTTTAGGGCTTGCAGGGTTTAAGGTTTAGGGACCTATACTATTTAGGTTTTTCTTTTGAGATCCGGACTGCGCTTGTGCCTAGAGGCTCCGTAGAACCTCACTCGTGTCACTTGTCAATGTCTTTGAACCTCCGCAGCCTTTGAAGGCCTGAATGGAGCAGAGCTCCATGTGAACCTCGAACATGAGTTAGTCTCAGAGAGCTTTGGGCAGTCCCCCCAAATTAGGTCCCGTTTAGGATCCTTTTTATATGGGTGCCGTGCTATTTTTGGACCTAAAAACCATGTGCAGCGTGCGTTCTTCATTGAGTGAGCGTGAGCAAATTCGAGCCAGGGGTTTCTCGGTCCGGGCTGCGTGAAGCTGTAAGCGCCGTGGAAGGGATGACTTTCCTAGAGAAGAATAGGGTTCTCTATTATAGTTATACTATAATCCCCCTAAACCCTAAACCCTAAACCATTATAAGGCTTGTCCGAGTTTTGAGAGCGTAAACCGTTATAACCTACCCCAAGACCCTATTCTACTTATTAAGCCCCCCCCATATTAAACCCCAACACGCTCAGGAGAAGAAGCACTGGGGCAAAGATGCCTGGCGTCCGCTCTGTTTCTCGTCGGTGGATCCACGAAAACTAACCTACTGCTTTAGGGGGCTAAGATTGAGACCTGAGCAACTAGTAATAGTGTTCCTCGGGGTTCTTGGTTTTTGTTTAGTATCAGAAACCATGGGTCTTTATCAGGCTTCCTCAGAAGAATGCTATTACATTGGGGTTCTAGTGCCAGGGTTTCTTAAATCAGATTCCTACAGGAGTGCACACTAAACCCGAAACCCGAAACCCACACTCAGTGCCCTTTTCCAGTTGTGAAGGTCTCTCGGTTCGGCCTTGTCTGGGGTGGTGCCTATCATTTTGAGGTTTCAGGAAGATCTACAGTCAAGTGTGGAGGCTTACGGGTTTATGGCTTAGGGTTATTGGTTTAGGGTTTAGGGTTCAGGGGTTTAGGGTTTAGGGTTAAGGCCCTGCTGTTGAGGTGTGTTCGCTGGCACACAATCCAAGCCCATGCTGAAAGGGTTTAGGGTTAGGGTTTAGGGATCAAGTGTAGAGGTGTGTATCTTGGGTCAACTGCTCCTTACAGTCCCTGGATATGGAACTACTGGGCCTGCATTAGCCCCTTGTGTTAAGTACTATTGTCAGGAAATGGGCCAAATGTACAATGCTTTGAGGGTTTAGAGTGGAAATCAGAAAAGTGGAACATCATTCTTTTGCTACATATATACCTCGGCATGCGACAGGAGTCTGAGTCTTCGGCGCACGGACAAACCCGGCACTAATGATGCTTAACCAGCCTGAACCATAAACCCTAAACCCAAATCAAGGTTGCATGGCTCATGGGAACCTGACCACCAGGAGCGTGATTGTCACTGGGCAACAGTGGAGGAGATAGTAGGCTCACGTGCTGGACTCCCTTACCATCGGTATCCTGAACTGCAAGATTTTCTTCATGTAACTGCTGGTTATCTAGACTCTAAACCCAGCTAAAGAAGGGAATGACAGTTGCGAGGCTACGGAGATCCCGCATATCGTAGGTATCTCATACTCCAGGATGTTTGGTCCAGCTCCATGCTTTCGGGATTTCTGGCCATGTGGGTTTATGGTCTTGTCAGACGACTAGTCTTGGGGTTCTAGGATATATGTAATTACCAGGGCTTAGAGGGCATCCAACTACTGAGGCCTAGGGCTTCTTGAGTTTAAGTACTAGGGTTTATCGGATTGGGGCTTAGGGTGCTCTGGGGCGTCGCCGCTGCACGACGCAGGTTACACCTTTAATTCTGACAGGCGCACATGCCGAGTTCTCGAAACCGCGAAGCATCTAGACCTTAACTTCAGCTACGACACTTGATGGCGAGGTGGATGCGTTGGGCTCTACTTGGCTCTACGACTGGGGCACCCACTCCACGACCATTTCCTGGCAGGGACATGGGAAGAGTGGCGGCGGCCCAGATGCAATGATTCCCAATGAAACGGTTTGTTTATACGTGCCCGTTAGACTTGACGATATGCACACATATATATATATATATATATCCGAACATACATACCGACCTTCGTGCATACCTGCCTGCCTGCCTGCTTGCCTGCTTGCCTGCCTACCGACCTACCTACGTACATAGGCATGTACATGTGCATTCGTGCACATACCGACATACTACATACAGAGAGGCTCATAGACTGCGACAGACAGAGAGAGCGAGAGAGACAGACCAAAAGAGCGCAGAGAGGCGGAGAGAAACGGAGAGAGACGGAGAGAGATGAGAGGGGCGGAGAGAGACAGACGACAGATGGACGGACGGACGGGCGGACAGAGAGATAGAGAAGGGCAGAGAGACGGAGAGACCGACAGATAGACCGACGGACGGGCAGACAGACCAGCAGACAGACTGACCGACAGGTAGACAGACAGATAAGCATCCACACATGCATGCATGAACGCGTACATACATACGTACATACACAGGCATACAGATGTACAGACATGCATGCACATGTACAAAACATAAGTAGACGCCTTCATGCAAGCAGGCATGTATGCAATGCATGCATGCGCAAGCACGCACACATGTACCCATGCAGGGCAGGAAGCCAAGCACCATCTGCTTGAAAGGGCGCTAGGGTTCCCAAACGGGTTCTGCAACGGTCAGGGTCTCGGGTTTTGGGTTTTGGGGTTTAGTGCTTATTGCTTGAGTGGGTAGGGGCTTGAGCATGGTGTTGGGGTGGGCTCTTTGGATAAAAGGATTGAAGTGTTGGCATCGGTCGCACATGTTAGATGATGGTTGCAGCTGAAACGAAACCCTAAAGCCCATGGGCAATAGGCCCCTACTTCCGACCTTGAAAATGTGTTCTTGTTGCCGTCATGCCCGCTGTAGCTGCATTATCGACATGTACCGGGCCAGATTCTTCCCGTCGTACGTTGACCTAGACCCTGCCGATTGGCCTGACAGTATTGGTGATATTCTTTGGAACACTGCTCACGGCGGTGGTGGCGATGCCCCTTACGGGCAACTTTAAGCAAAAAGCCCTAATCCGAAGTCAAGCCTTGCATTAAGCGACTTGTCTCAGGTCCCAGCCCTAAGCCGAAAGCCTAAACCCCCAACACCCAAATCCCAAAAGGCCGCATCTCGCCCAAATGAACCCAAACCCGAAAGCCTATAAACCCGTGCGGGCTCCTGATGAAAGTACAGCATAATTTGGATCCCGGAAAAGGGAACCCGAAAAACAACCCTGAGCACCAGAACTCCTCCCCAAACCCTGAGCCCTCAACCCTAAAGCTTAAACCCAAATCGACACCTGCGCGAGCAAAGGGGCGCTAAACAAAGCAAACACATCGACAAGCCTGGAGGCCAGCAGCCGCTCTTCAGGGACTTGGCCCGGCTGTCGGCGCGGATTCTTTTCGAAGGTCGGGGGTTTAGGGCTAGGGTTTTGGCCGGGCGAGCTCCAATCAAGCCTGTGTAAAAGGGCTAGGGTTTAGGGGTTTAGGGTTTAGGGTTTAGGGTTTAGGGTTTTAGGTTTAGGAAAGGGTGACTGTACTGTGTCTTTGTTTGATGCAGGATGGTGTGAAATCATGCAGCGCTGCTTCCCAGCTAATCAGCAGAGTCTGGGTTCAAAAAAAGGATGTAGCAATAGGGCTAGGGCGGCTAGGATGTAGTCTTTGTCCAGGGTGTACTGTTTTATAGGGCTTGGGATCTAGGGTAAAACCCTGAACCCTCAACCCTCTAGGGTTTAGGGGTTCAGGTTTTTGTAGAACAGGACTTCAGGATTTGGGCTTTCAGTTGGGCAGATGCGGAATGAAACGATTTGGAGCTGAAGGGGTGTAGGAGTTTTCGGGTGTTTAGGGTTGAGGTTTGGCTAGGCTTGAATCCAGTAGCAAAAAGGTGCTATGGGTTCTTGATGTCATTGATAGTATGTCCTAAAAATATAGATTTGATAGGTGCGTCCACTCCCGGGCCATTGCTGTTGATTGATGCTAGGGGGGCACAGTCGTTGAGCTTTGGAGAGTCTGCTGCAGACTTGAATTTCGGGTTTAGGGTTTACAGAAGGGATTTGAAGGGCTTTGTGCATTGCAGTCCCTGCTCAAAAAAAGGTTTACAGTTATTTATACATAGCCAGCCGCGACATGCAAGCCTGATGTAAAAACAGTCATTGATTTATGGTTCTCAGATTGAACCGGGTCCTGGGACATGTTGTGGCCCAGCTCGTTGTCTTTTGGGGGCAGCACAAGGAAGACGGTAACGAGGCTCCAGTGAGGGATTTCTCTTTTAATTTTTCATCCCAAGACGTCTCGCGCTGAACGCTCCTTTAAAGGTTTATGAACTATCTACGTATGTATTGCATACTGTTCCCTACATCCGGCCCTAAACCCTAAACGTGAGCTGATGCACTTCTGCGGACGCAACAAATGGTGGGTGAAAAAAGCAAACTAAACCCTATTGGCCCTCTTCCCTAGACCCTAAACCCTGTAGGATTCAGATTGGGGTTTGCTCTGGTTTTCCATCAGCTCGCTTCCCGCTTTGAGATCCCACGCCCAAGGCCGAAGCAGCGACTCAAGTCTTATGCCAATGCTATAGGGGCCTTGAGAATTTGAATAAAGTTCCTTTCGTTCTGGGGGTCGATAAAGATTACTATAACGGGTAGTATGTGGGTTTATTATAGGGGCCTTCATAATTAGAATAGGGTTTTTGGGTATATAATATTACAGTCATAATAAGGAACCCCAAATAGTGGAGGTATTTATTCAGGCCCCTACATTATGCCAACCCAACGGCTTAACCCAATCCCAACATGACGGGTGCTAGCCTCATACCTGGCTCTAGGTAGAACCGTCATTTGATATCTATTCCGTATTTGCAAGGGTTTAGGAAGCGCATGTCCTACGTTGGCTACTGCGGGCAACTTACACCTTTTTTCCTGAATTGCGAAGTGCGAAATTCACAGCTTGCAAGGCTGCCGCCTGCCGCTGTCACTACAACAGGCTGCATGCGTAGTCTGTGCGTTTCTGATATTTGCTACGGCAAGTTGGGATTAGCATACATCTTGCACCCTTTGAGGAGTATGTCGACTGCTTCGAATGGTGTAATACTCCAAGCGTTCTTTCTTGTTACTTTGCAGGGAGCTGATCGGAAACCATTGCAAGCTCCAGGTGTATCCAGGTGTGGGAATGTGGGGCACTTGTCCTTTGGTTTCTTGGGCTTGGGCTCTGGAGCCGTCAGGTGCATGAAGGGCAGCAACCCTAGATCCAACGCTTCGACACCCAAAAACCTTCTGTCTTATGTCCGAGCTTGCAGGCTACGCAGGAAGCCCTTATTGAAGAACAAAATCCACGCCTTCAACTCGTGAAGACCTACTCGCAGACTCCAAAACCCTATACCGTAAAGTGTAGGCTTCAGCCCCTACAAGCTGCATTGGCTGGAGTCTTTAGGATGCAGGGTTGGGGACCTTTGGAATTTGGCATTTGGGATGACTTCGGATTCCGAGTTTGCACTAAGCCTCTAAACCACAAACCCTCCCTAAACCAGGAGACCTCGTCAGGCTATGCCCGAGTTGCGAGAGCCTGAGCCCCTAAAATCATTAAAGGCTTTACCTGTAGTCTCCATTGTAGTTCCTTTTTTTGGTTTAACCAATTTTATACTAAGGATTTTAGAAGGTATCCCCCAAAAAAAAACTACAATGGAGACTATAGGTAGAGTTTGGGGTTTAGGGTTTGGGGCTTCGGCAGGCACAGCAGATTTGCGCAGCCAGCTGGGTCGACCTCACCGACCTATCCAGGTAATCCCTTGGGTTTGGGGTTTAGGGTGTAGGCCTT